TTAAAGTGTTAGTCATTTTTAAAGTTTCTGTTGTGTTTGTCATTTTTAATTTATATATATTTATATATATACAGTATATATATATATATATATATATATATGGTTTTTAGACATTTTTGTTTCAGTTTTAGTACTTTTAGTAAATTAGTACTTAAATGTAAACTAAATGAAAATTAATAATGTTTCCTTGGCAACTAACTGAATTAAACAAAAATTTAATATAAAAGCTATTTTTTTTTCATTTAGAAATAAAAAAGCTAGATGTATGATTTTAGTTTTATTTAACAATAACCCTGATTTAGGTTTATATTCCAAAATGGTGACAAGTAATTTCTTAATTGTGAGTTGCAGAAATAAGCTTTTTTGTATAATTGGGATTTTATTTTAATTCATATTTTGAGTTTGTTTTTATTTTTTTTATTTTCCATTTTCATTTGTAATTTGTTTGTTTCCCTTTCGAATGGGACCTCACACTGCGTCCCCTAGAGAGTGCTATGGGGAATGCCTCCGGCATGGTCTGTCATGAAGCATGAGTCTAAACACAACAATGAACTTGACATTGGCAGGCGGCAGCTTATGACGTCACAGCTGGTGCAGCTGAGAGTATAAAAGGGCACCTGTGAAATACGTCATCCTTTTTCTTGTCTTCAGGAGACCGTTTGTTTGTACATGAGTTTGGAGCACGCACGTGTAGCTCCTGAGGGAGCAGAATGCGCGCACTGAAGAGATTTCTCAGTGAAAGCTCAGTTCGCGCTGTCCCTATTCCCGCCTGCACTGAGGCGATCTCCACAGCAGACTTCTACCCGACAGTCAAAGCGGCATTATGTCACAAATGTGTGGACTCAAAGGGATTCTCATATTGAGGTCTCTGCTCCTAGAGCTCTGCCATCTACTGCAAGCGTCGTCAGGCCTCCTCTCGCTACAGTTATTTTCATTGAGAGCTCCATTAGGACAGCATCTGTGAGTTTGTAGGCTCTCTGTGAGCCTCCTTACAGGATGTCCTGAGCGTAGGGTGTAGTTAGGGCTCCTCTTGTTTTAGAGAGTTGTCATGTCGAGGCCTCCGCTCCTAGAGCTTTGCTAGGCGGTAGTATGCTAGGTTGTTAGGCTCCCTGGGAGCATCCTTGGCTACTGACCTTAGTATGGAGTGTTGTTAGGCCACCTCTCAGTTTGAGAGGTGTTGTATTTAGGCCTCCACTCTGCAAAGCTAGCTCTGAGTGTTAGGCTCTTTGTGAGCCTCCTTGGATGCTGGCCTGAATAAGAAAATAGGTTCCTGTTGAGGCCTCTGTTCTTGAGAAGCTCCGGTCTATGATCGCATTGCTGGTGCAGGAGTGAGGACTCCTTTGAGTCTTTGACTTAGCTCAACCAATAAAGCACTCATCCCTTCAGCATGGCGGCGTTGGTTCACCGTTCCCATAGTGGCCTCTAGAGGATGCAGCGCGAGTTCCCATTTGAAAGGAAGCGTCTCAGGTTACGCATGAAACCTGAGAAGGGAAACGAGACACTGAATCCCTTTGCAATGCTTCAGGAATTGCTGCATGTCTCCTTCAGGCAAGAAGTGGAATGGCGTATTTCACAGGTGCCTTTTTATACTCTCGGCCGCACCAGCTATGATGTCATAGGCTGCCACCTGCCAATGTCAAGTTCATTGTCGTGTTTAACTCATGCTTCAGACAGTGGTCATACGGAGGCATTCCCCATAGCACCCTCTAGGGGACGCAGTGTCTCGTTCCCCTTCTCAGGGAACCATGGTTACATGCGCAACCTGAGACGTTTTCCGTTATTATTAGTAGTCTTTCATATGAGCTTCTCTCTTCTCTCTCTGACAGTGACTACATCATAAAGGAGAAAACTGTACTTCTGCAGAAAAAAGACAATGAAGGCTTCGGTTTTGTACTCCGAGGGGCCAAAGGTAAGTGATGGACATCAGCGAGCTCTTTTCTGGTTTGATAACAGAGCACAGCATGACATAGATGGATCACGTCCATGATTGTGATCTGTGATCTCCAGCCCAGACTCCTGTTGAGGAGTTCAGCCCGACTCCAGCCTTTCCTGCTCTGCAGTACCTCGAGTCTGTCGACGAAGGGGGCGTCGCGTGGAGGTCCGGCCTGCGGATGGGGGACTTCCTGATCGAGGTCAGCAAAGATGTCGCCTCCTTTGATGCAACCTTGTTTTAGACATCTACTGAACCAAAAAAAGTTTTTATTAGATAAAGAGCCATAGAATGTTATATAGAAGACCGAACGCTGCATCGCTACAAAAGCCAAAACTAGTTTAGCGGTATAGTCTCCAGTCTGTGAGGTGTTAAACTCAACACTGAACAAATCTTAACACCTACACTGAGGTGATAAACCTCACTGAGATACTTGTGTTGCCTACTTTAATTTGATTCTGGAAGAGAAGATGACATGGATCTTGTGTTCTCTGTGTATGCCATCTTGAGTATGTGGTGCTGCAAAATATATTTTTATTGATACGTCTCCAGACGCAACGCCCTGTTAGCAAAAACCTTCACCTCACGGTTCCCAGCTGGTTAATTTGGAGTGTGTGAATCATGTTGAATCATTTTGAATCAAGTCTGATGATAATGCTCAAGACACCCACTTGTGTTTCTCTCTCTTTCTCCAAACTGCAAATCAAATTTCCTTTCTTATATAATTTTTAAATATAGTTTTCTTTAAAAAAAAAACAATCTTTGTAAATCTTTGTGAAAATCACCTGAATTGAAAAATATTTGGAATATACACGTTCAAAAGTTCAGGTTTGGTAAAATTTTTTTAGCATTTAGCATTTATTTGATTAAAAATGCAATAAAAATGCTAATATTGTGAAATTTTATTACGATTTACGATTTAGTGGTTTTTATTTATTTATGTTTTAAAATGTAATTTATTCTTGTGATCAAAGCTGAATTTTCAGCATCATTACTCCAGTCTTCAGTGTCACATGATCTTCAGAAATCATTCTAATATGCTTATTCACTGCTCAAGAAACATTTCTGATTATTATCAATGTTAAGAACAGTTGTGCTTCTTTTCTATATATTTATTATATATTATTATAAGTGATACGATATGTGAGATACACTGTGATGCATTTTTTCAGTATTCTTTGTAATTCTTTCTTTTAAAAAATACTGACCTGCAACCTTTGAATGGTTATGTGCATTACAATGTATCTTAAGTTACTACTGATTGAAATATTATGGCTGTATTTTCACAGGTGAATGGAATCAATGTGGTGAAGGTGGGTCACAGGCAGGTGGTGAACATGATTCGCCAGGGCGGGAACAGTCTGATGGTGAAGGTCGTCATGGTAGCGCGAAATCCTGAGATGGAGGAAATGCCTAAGAAGAAAGGTCAGAGAGCATTTTGTCTGTGGGAGTATGAATGAATGGCATTGCAGGCAGTTTTTGATTTGGTTTAACAGCACTCTCTCTCCCTTTAGTTCCCCAGCAGAGCAAGCGGCTGACCCCTCCGGCTATAGCTCTGCGCTCCAAATCCATGACTTCAGAACTGGAGGAGATGGGTACAGTCTTACAAACACATATACGCACACCTTCCATACACATACACGCATGAAATGCATGTTATTCTATTAAGCATTTACTGTTATCATAAACTCTGATATTACACTTTCAATCCTCTTTTTGGCTGATAATTTGCTTCTTTGTCTTTCTTTCTTCTTTGCACACAGTGGAGAAAGGTTTGTGCAATGCCTTGTCATTTTGAACCATTATAATATTTTAGAATGAATCTCACAAAAATTATCCAGGACACATTTCACCCCAAAATACCAACTAACTAACTATGAATCCTAAAAAGTTTTTATTTTTATTTTTATGTGAAATGTCATTTTATAGCAATGCATATTGTCAGTTTATGGGAAATGAGCATATTTGTTGCATATGGATGTTTAAATTTTTTTTCACGATGCTTCTCCATGCTATTCTGCTCAGTGACTGTCAGTAGATTCTCATTAAAATAATAGTTTTTTTTTTTTACAGTATTTGTATTTCACAACCATAATATTTAAATACTATTTTAATATTATTAATTGGAAATTGTATTTGGTCATGAAAAGAATGTTACAATGCAAAAACAAAACACAAATTATCCTAAAACAGGCCTCGTTTTCATTATGCAAAAAATACTTTCTTGTTTTAGGGGTGAAATATGTCTTAGTTTTCTGACAGGTTTTACGAAATTAACTGTTTGATCATATCATAGTGTTGCAGAGAGTTTCAGTTTTTTAGTTGGATAATCTGTCTTCTCATATAAAATTTATCAAGGTTATTAATGTCCTTAATTAGTTTATCAGTCAGCATCAGTCTAGATTTTAAACAATAAACAACAGTATGCAGTTTATATGTATTAGTTATAAAATTTGTTTCTTTCAGTGACAGTGAAAACATGTTATAATGTTTGTTGGCTGTCAGTTTTCTTCTTAGTTTGTTACCATGACAACTGAAAATAGACTGCAAACTTGAGAAAAATACTTGCTGTTTATTGACACCGATTGTTAATACTGTTACAAGGGAATAATTTGAAATAATGATTAAAAAAATGTGAAATGTTACATTGTCACCATAGTGTCCGGTTAAACATGCACTTATAAAAGCATATTATTGCATTTTTACCATTACTCACTTCCTTTTGCAGCTGCCTCGCCATGGAAGAAGAAACCAGGTGACTTGATTGTTCTTTTGTTTTCTTCAAATGCATAAGGGATTATGAAATGTGTATTATGACTGCCTCTAGTTAGTATGATTACCACATAGGATGCATTTAAGAGCAATTCATGAAATTCCACAAGTTTCTCTGGCATGTGTGGATCATGTATTAGGATCATTATGGTCAGATACATGTGTAGCTGTCTCTGTGTATTTGTGTGTGAAGTTGCTAATTTTTTTGTATGTGTCGATGCTCAGATCATACAGAAAGCTCTCAAGCTCCAGAAAAGAAGAAGAGCGTCTATCAAATGGCCCTTAGTAAGAAACCCGTCCTTTTCATTTATTATATTTCATCTCCTGATATAAATTTTTTTACTGTATGCACACTTTTGAATCTCACATTTAAAGTATATTATTATATCCAGGTGATTCACCTCAAGTTTTGTAGCATGTTCATTTTCTCCTGTCGTCCTCCAGATAAGCTGGATGAGATTCTAGCCGCTGCTCAGCATACAATTAGCACATCAGACTCTCAGGGTCACAGAGGTCACGGGGGCAAGAAGGAACGAAACAAGGGCTTTAACGCTAATGAGGTAACATCTCGGTTTCATTATATCTGTTCTGATTAACATAGAGTTTCGACAATCTTGAGGAAGCTACTTTTGAAGTCAAGTTACTCATAATTTAAACTACAGTCAGTATGGCATCTTTTGTCATTTATCATCAGCATAAACTTTAACAAGCATCTTTAAAAAAAACAACAGTATGAGCAGCAGCATTTAGCTAAATATTTCGGCATAAAAAAATGCTGTGCGGGGACTTAAATTGGTGAAATGTTCAGAACAAAACAATTTGCTTTCACACATGAAATCTTGTTTGATTATTGCATCAGCTTGCTCAGTAGCTACAAGAAAATCTTGAAAAGAGTTTTATATACAGCTTTGAAACAGTAGTTTTGACAGAAGAAAAGGGTTCTTTGATGTGTGTTGCCACATATGACCACTTGCATTTGCTCGCCTGGTCTTAGCTGTTGCACAGTCATGTTAGTAAGGCTTTTCGCCTAGTAATAAGTGTAAGAGTGATACCGCATCTGTGCTGCAGGTGCTGAGAAAAAGTATATTTACAAGCAGTTATTGTGTGGAAGTAGAGTTGTAAGATTGTGTGATGTAGAGTCGTCTTTCACTGAGGCAGCAAGGAAATGTGCTAAATATTCCATCCCATCAGTCTTTTCCCTTTTTTACAGCAAACTTTTGAACAATCAGGTGTTGGCGTGATGTCATCAGGGCCTGGGTATGGTTACAACCAAGCCCAGTTTTCATCAGGCCATTCAACTCAGCGTGCTATCATGATGCGTCAGAAATCCATGGGTGAGTTTAAATGCAACAAGTGTTGAATCCATTGCTATTCACTCCAATTGCTCTGTAATTCTTAGAGCAATTTATGTAACTGTGTTCTGCATGTCTTCTGTCCAAAGGAGGGACCGAGGAGGAGAGGGTACATCTCCATCCTCCTACTATGAAGCTGTCTCGTAGTCTTTCTGTGCCTGGACCAGAGGACATCCCTCCTCCACCCGACACCTCAGCGCCTGAGCCTCCCCTGTCTGCCGGTGGCCACACAGACAGGAGAGCAGCACCAACACATTTTTATGCTGTTCCTCCTCTGCCTCCATCACACCACCTGCCTCATAGCCAGACACAGCACAGGGTCCCGCCCAACCGCAGGGTAAGAGCTTGATAGCGCTGGTCAAAATCCTTAACATGTTAAAATAATTTAACACAATTAATGCAAAATTACTGAAACACAATTTCTATTCTAAACCTTTTACCCAATTTCGCTTGTTTGCAATCAGATAATTTTTAGTCCAGTGATCCAGTAAGCGAATGCATTTAAACAATCAGTCCAACTCCAAAACAGTGCTTGTAAAGAAAACCAGGCTGATTACATCAGAGATGGCAGAGAGAGCAGAGACTCAAGTTGTGTTTTCAGTGAGTTATCCAAGTATCAATTATATGAACTTCTTATATCATTTGGTTCTTTGGTGTCCTTTGGAGTCTCCAAGTGTCCTTTTTTGAAAATATATCAAAATTTATCTTGAAATAAGCTTGCAGAAAATACAGTTTTGTGAGAATCACCCTTCAATCTTTTGATTTATATACTTCTTATATACTATAGTAAATAATGACCAAATGAATGTGTTACAAGATAAATGGTATTTGCGTAATTAATGGTCCAAAAAATAAAGAAGGGAATACGGAATTAGAACAACAGAAGGGTGAGTAAATTATGACTGAATTATCATTTTTGGGTGAACTATCCCTTTAAGACTTTGAAATATTGTCTTTCACAGGCTGAAACTGATACCAGCAAGATGGGAGGATCAAGAATGGGCGGCCTGAGGCGTGGCTATAGCAATGCCGTGCCTCCCTCTGATGTGGGCCCCAAGCAGTCTACAGCACAGCGGAACCAAGCGCCAGCGGTGGCCAAGATTGCAGGTCGGCAAGGTGGGAAAGGGATGTTGGTAAAGCAGCGCAAGGTGGAGGAGACTGGCAGAGGAAAGTTGGAAAAAAGTTCCATTTCGATCCCAACTATTATTGTGAAAGCGCCTTCTACCAGCAGCTCTGGGCACAGTAGCCGTGCGAGCAGTGAGGATACAGTGCCGTCTCCTGAGAATAATGAAGAGCAGGAAGAGGCAAAGCCTCAAAACCCAGTTGTGGCTCCTACGCCCGCTCCACCTCAACCACCAAATATCCCATCAAAACTGGAAACACTGGGCAAGAGCATCATCAGGGCCTGGGTATGGTTACAACCAAGCCCAGTTTTCATCAGGCCATTCAACTCAGCGTGCTATCATGATGCGTCAGAAATCCATGGGTGAGTTTAAATGCAACAAGTGTTGAATCCATTGCTATTCACTCCAATTGCTCTGTAATTCTTAGAGCAATTTATGTAACTGTGTTCTGCATGTCTTCTGTCCAAAGGAGGGACCGAGGAGGAGAGGGTACATCTCCATCCTCCTACTATGAAGCTGTCTCGTAGTCTTTCTGTGCCTGGACCAGAGGACATCCCTCCTCCACCCGACACCTCAGCGCCTGAGCCTCCCCTGTCTGCCGGTGGCCACACAGACAGGAGAGCAGCACCAACACATTTTTATGCTGTTCCTCCTCTGCCTCCATCACACCACCTGCCTCATAGCCAGACACAGCACAGGGTCCCGCCCAACCGCAGGGTAAGAGCTTGATAGCGCTGGTCAAAATCCTTAACATGTTAAAATAATTTAACACAATTAATGCAAAATTACTGAAACACAATTTCTATTCTAAACCTTTTACCCAATTTCGCTTGTTTGCAATCAGATAATTTTTAGTCCAGTGATCCAGTAAGCGAATGCATTTAAACAATCAGTCCAACTCCAAAACAGTGCTTGTAAAGAAAACCAGGCTGATTACATCAGAGATGGCAGAGAGAGCAGAGACTCAAGTTGTGTTTTCAGTGAGTTATCCAAGTATCAATTATATGAACTTCTTATATCATTTGGTTCTTTGGTGTCCTTTGGAGTCTCCAAGTGTCCTTTTTTGAAAATATATCAAAATTTATCTTGAAATAAGCTTGCAGAAAATACAGTTTTGTGAGAATCACCCTTCAATCTTTTGATTTATATACTTCTTATATACTATAGTAAATAATGACCAAATGAATGTGTTACAAGATAAATGGTATTTGCGTAATTAATGGTCCAAAAAATAAAGAAGGGAATACGGAATTAGAACAACAGAAGGGTGAGTAAATTATGACTGAATTATCATTTTTGGGTGAACTATCCCTTTAAGACTTTGAAATATTGTCTTTCACAGGCTGAAACTGATACCAGCAAGATGGGAGGATCAAGAATGGGCGGCCTGAGGCGTGGCTATAGCAATGCCGTGCCTCCCTCTGATGTGGGCCCCAAGCAGTCTACAGCACAGCGGAACCAAGCGCCAGCGGTGGCCAAGATTGCAGGTCGGCAAGGTGGGAAAGGGATGTTGGTAAAGCAGCGCAAGGTGGAGGAGACTGGCAGAGGAAAGTTGGAAAAAAGTTCCATTTCGATCCCAACTATTATTGTGAAAGCGCCTTCTACCAGCAGCTCTGGGCACAGTAGCCGTGCGAGCAGTGAGGATACAGTGCCGTCTCCTGAGAATAATGAAGAGCAGGAAGAGGCAAAGCCTCAAAACCCAGTTGTGGCTCCTACGCCCGCTCCACCTCAACCACCAAATATCCCATCAAAACTGGAAACACTGGGCAAGAGCAAAGCACAGCGGGAACGTGAATGCTACCGTGACTCCCGTCGGAGAAGCACCTCATTCTATTACTCCTCTGAGGAGGACATGTTAGATGAGCAGGAGTCTGCTCAGACTTCATTGGAGGCCAATACCTCCGCTCGTTTACGCCCTTCTAAATCTATTGATGAGGGATTGATCTCCGGTGATGCCTTAAGCATGCCACCTGCGTTTGGGTTGCCACAGTACGCATCAGCTACACCTCATCAAGCCACTACCTTCATCCACCCATTGACGGGGAAGGTTCTAGACCCAACAAGCCCACTTGGACTCGCACTGGCTGCACGCGAGCGAGCGCTGAAAGACGACCACCGTAATCGTAGAGAGGAACGCCACTTTGGTCGGCAGCTGTCCAGCACCGGAGCTTTTCCTTCTGCGGTCTCCCCTACAAGCCAAAAACATGTTCCTCCATTCTACATCTACCAATCACACACCTCACTCTACCTTGGTGGTGCCTCTCCAACAACAAGTGGGCCAGTCCCACAGAGTCGCCCCCAGTCTCCTCGGATGCTTCGATTAAGTGGTGGTGGGACGGGGAGCTTGGAATGGAGTGAACAGAATATTGTGGATAGAGAGGAAAGAGCAGCACCAAAGGTGCGGTTTACAGACAATCAAGCCAGTCAGTACCAGTCTCACCTTCAGGACAGAGACAACAGAGCCAATCAGTACCACACTTACATGCGGGACCGAGAAAGGGAAGGGCACAAGAGGATACCGCCCAAGCCTCCTCCCCGCAGGCCTTCCTTTATAGGCAAGGAGAGCGAACTCGGCACGGCTGACAAAAGTTCCACCAGTAATTCCCAGGATGACAGGGGAGGACAGAAGATGGGAGAGAGTGGGATGGAAAAGGAGGGAGAGAAGGATACAAAGAGAGGGGGAAATCTAGGGGTTGGAGAGGGTGGCGATGTGATGGTGCTTCCACCCCCTACTCCATCTGTGGATGTGGACGATGAGTTCGTGTTTGCAGAGCCCCTACCTCCCCCTATACAGTTTGCAAATGGAATAGAAATAGACACCCATGGAACAACAGAATATAATCAACAACAGCAACAGAAGGAGCTGTCAGGATCTCAACCACCCAAGGAGCAACAGTCTCTGCAAACGCTTTCCAAACCCCCGCAAGATGCCATGTCCCTACTGGACAACATGCAAGCTGACTCACAGCAGACACCCGTCCATCCTTCTGCTGTGGTACATCCATTTCTTTTCCCACCATCTCCTCTAATCCCCACTCCACAGCTGTGTCCCAAAATACCTCCCGCAAACCCACCCCAGTCCCAACCCTCAAGCTATTCTCAGCACCCACACAACAGCCAACCCCAACCTTTACCCTCGCCACAAGCGGGAGATTCTGCTGCTTCTAGTCTTACATCTTATGACAGTGAGGTGGCCAATCTGACCCAGTCAGCTCTCTCCCCATCTCTTCCTTCTCCTCAGATATTCCCTTCATCGAGTTCCCCTTCCGCCCCAAACGCCTCATCTCACCCTATGTCATTGCATCGGCCTCTCCCACTTTTCTACCCGCAACAAGGCCACGCTAACATTTCTATGTCATATTCTACTGTGGCTGCAACTGCAGCTGTAATGACTGTCACCACAACAATGCCTTTGGAAAGTGCATCTTCCTTTATAGGCAAGGAGAGTGAACTCGGCACGGCTGACAAAAGTTCCACCAGTAATTCCCAGGATGACAGGGGAGGACAGAAGATGGGAGAGAGTGGGATGGAAAAGGAGGGAGAGAAGGATACAAAGAGAGGGGGAAATCTAGGGGTTGGAGAGGGTGGCGATGTGATGGTGCTTCCACCCCCTACTCCATCTGTGGATGTGGACGATGAGTTCGTGTTTGCAGAGCCCCTACCTCCCCCTATACAGTTTGCAAATGGAATAGAAATAGACACCCATGGAACAACAGAATATAATCAACAACAGCAACAGAAGGAGCTGTCAGGATCTCAACCACCCAAGGAGCAACAGTCTCTGCAAACGCTTTCCAAACCCCCGCAAGATGCCATGTCCCTACTGGACAACATGCAAGCTGACTCACAGCAGACACCCGTCCATCCTTCTGCTGTGGTACATCCATTTCTTTTCCCACCATCTCCTCTAATCCCCACTCCACAGCTGTGTCCCAAAATACCTCCCGCAAACCCACCCCAGTCCCAACCCTCAAGCTATTCTCAGCACCCACACAACAGCCAACCCCAACCTTTACCCTCGCCACAAGCGGGAGATTCTGCTGCTTCTAGTCTTACATCTTATGACAGTGAGGTGGCCAATCTGACCCAGTCAGCTCTCTCCCCATCTCTTCCTTCTCCTCAGATATTCCCTTCATCGAGTTCCCCTTCCGCCCCAAACGCCTCATCTCACCCTATGTCATTGCATCGGCCTCTCCCACTTTTCTACCCGCAACAAGGCCACGCTAACATTTCTATGTCATATTCTACTGTGGCTGCAACTGCAGCTGTAATGACTGTCACCACAACAATGCCTTTGGAAAGTGCATCAGTTATCGCAGGTGAACGAATTCCTCCAGCTCTTAAGGGGCGTGATTGGTCGGAGGCTGTGGTTGATTCTGGGATTGAGGAACTGGATAGTCACAGCAGCAGTGATCACCACATGGAAAACTTCGGAGAAAGAAGGGAACTAGAAGGAGGCCGAGAGAAGGAGAGGGGAGGAAGATGGGGAGAAAGCATGGAGAGTGGGATAGTAGGGGATGGATTCAAAGGAGACCAAAGAGTGTCCCTGGATTCGTCTCTTTCTCACCCCGATAAATTAGCTCAAAAAACACACAAACCGCCCATGCATAAATCCAAACCTCCAAACCCGCCACTCGCAAAAACACACATTCAAAATATGTCAAAATATCATGCGCACACAGAAAATGGACAAACCGGACCACTGCTACAGCGGCAGGCTAGCACCGCTCCCAACATGTACAGGTCAAGGGAAGAGGAAGAGCAAGAACAGGGAAGAGGAGGTGAAGCTGCTGTAAAGATTCCAGCATTTATGGATCGTCGTCTGAACTCTCCTCTCTCCAATGTTAAGGCCAGCATCATAAATGAACTCAGCAGTAAACTACAACAGCTTGGTGGCTGGCAGGGTCAGGCACCACCGTCAAATCATAGGTGAGACATCTTGTGAAAACAAAAAGACACTCACGTTCTTACAGTACAGTTGCAATAAAAAGTTTGTGAACCCTTCAAGAATTACCTGGATTTATGGATTCATAATATGGTCTGATGTACAATTCTATATTGACTACATACCTTTATTCTCTGACTGTATGTCAAATGGAGTGTAGGAAGAAAAAAAAAACAGGTTTCACAAGACAGTGCACATATGCCAAATACATATGTATATTATCTCGTGCTGTTTGTGCTACAGATGTGAATGATACCTCAAATCATAGCAACCAAAAGAAAAAAGTTAAAATCTCTCATTATGTTTTAGCAACCACATAGAAATCCCCGGCAAACACCCCAGCATTGTTTTGGCAATTTTTTTCACTGGCAAACACCTCTAATCTAGTTTTATTGCTTATTTTGTCTGAATTAAATGGGCATTACTGTTATTTTTCTGGTTTACACACATTATTTACTTTTTCACAGGTTTCCAGGTGATCCCTCTGGCTGTGCACCTCTCCTCCCTGCTTCTGTGCCGTCTCTCCAACGCCCCTTCTCTCCAAACCTTCCCCCTAACTCTTTAACATCTAACTGCCCCTCTGTTGCTCTGAACCGTAACCCTGTACCTTCGTCTCCTCTTCCTGTAACATCTCCAACCCCAGCCTTAACCCCGACCCCATTACCTCTCACCCCAATCCCAGCTCCACCTCCTCTCAAAGACTGGACGCCATCTAATTCTCCTATTTCTTTTCCTCATGGGATTTTGTCTCCTCCGTCGCTGCCCCATGCCCCCCTCTCTCCTCTTTCCCTGGCTCATG